AACTTAGGATGAAAAAAAAAAAAAAGAAGAATGTAGTAATGAGATACCTAAACAAAAACGTAAACCTAAAACTGGTTTAAATCTATCATACTAAAAACATTAAAGGTGTGATTTTGATATATTTATGTGTTTGGAGTATTTGGAACTCGGTAAATAGTTCACTTAAGCCATTTTTAGAAAGAATGGTTTTTGTTGATAAAGAAAAATAATGGTGCTTAATTATGTGTACATCATTTTAATTACTTAAGAAAAACATTAATCAAATTCGCATGTTTATAAGGCATGATTTAAACTGTTTTAAGAACAGAAATTAGTCTTACCTTTTCTTTTTCACTTGGCTTTAGCTGCTGACAGCGACCCCAGTGAACTTGCTTTAAATAAAAAAAATTCTTTTGTTAGCTACAACTCGCTAATAACACTATACAAACAGAATTTTTAACAGACCTTCAAACTGATAAATTATCTTCAATTAAAAAATAATTTAATATTTTGACATGCGTATAGGACAATTTCCATATTTATTCTTTTATCCATTTACTTCAAAACAAATAAGTTATTTTCTTTATTAACTATTTTAAAAATTGCTAAATAGCAGAATGAGAATATAATAACAATATTTAAAGTATTACTGACGATAGGTTTTCTTTTCCATTGAATTTGTCATCTGTTTTGTTGCAAATACATCATTCAACCAATTTTTAACGGGAGTTTAAAGTTACGTTTATGATGAATTATAAAGATGAAACATTTATTACTTTATAAATATCTGACATACCAGTATTATATGGACTCCTTAAAACTTAATTCGATTTATAACTTAATGTATAAGTTGATTTTTTGTTCAAATGACCACCGTGTGACAAAAATTTGTTATTACTACAGAAAAAGGGTTAAAACACTACTCAAACGTTGTATAATTTTGTTAGTTATCAACTAACATAAACGTTAATAATGGCTGGAGACGGCTTGAATGGGTAATGAAGAAAAACTTTGATATAAATTTAACATAACAGCAAATGTACAACGCTTCGACAAGGTTTTGTCATCATCAGGTACTTGTCGAAACGTTGTACATTTGCTGTTATGTTGAATTTATATTAAAGTTTTCTTCATTACCCATTTCAGCCGTCTCCAACCATTATTAGTCTCGAAGTGGGTTCCTCGTCATCGAATTTGAATTAATGTAAACGTTGTCTAAAGACAAAGTTGTCTGAATTGAAAGTGAACAACTTAAAATGTTCAGAAATAAATTTTTCTCACTACTTCCTATTTAGAACTGGAGTTTTATTGAATTCTGCTAACAAACTGTTTGATGATTTCATTAGCACAAAACTCTTTCAAAGTAAGAACTTTCTTTAGCATCTATCTGTCTTATGAATTTTTGGGTCTTATAAAAGTGCTATAAGTAACGCACACAGAAAGTTTTATCTTTCATAATTCACATAGTTGATTATTTGTTTTGTTGTTGTTGTAATTACATTTTTACCAGAAGCTCACCTGAGTGGTTTAGAGACTATCACAAAACCAACATATTACTTTTAATGTAACGGGACATTATTTTTGCTCTTTCTGTATGAGTAAAACTATGTCATTTTTATGTTAACTATATGTGAAAAATAACTGAAGTTTCGTGCTGTTCATCCAAACACTGAAAACAGTGTTGAAATACTTTCTTACATTGTAGTGTTTTCTTTCGAATTTAATCTGCTGGCTTGCTTCCGTCTCGAGAACAAAATGAAATACATGATACAATGATCAAATGAATTATTTATATTATCTCATTACTTTCAAAGAGTTCCATCTATTTGCTAAAAACATTGTGTTAAAACGACATAAAGATCAGCGACATTAGTTGTTTGAATCTTCATGGATTTTGTACAAAAAGTCAAAACGATGTCTAATGTCTAATAAAGTGAAGTGTAAAGACAAAGTGACTGTTATTTTCTGGTTATAAGTCACGAGGTGGATATATATGGAAATTCTAACTTTTTGATGACTTTGAACGTATAATAAACTACGAAATTCTTGAATAACACTCTATCTGGATTGAATAATAAACAATCGAAAATGCAGTGACACTAATCTAGCTAATTCAACTGTATTTGACCTAAAAAATTATTGATTTTTTTTCTGTTGTAAGGATCAGCAAATCCGTGTGAGAAAACAGAAAATAGACTACTATGATTCGTTAAATGTACACAGTTAAAGCACAAGCAAATAGATTTAAAACTGTACCCACCAATATGGGTCAACAGTAGTACTGTATCTGACAAGTTATCTATTACCCGAGTCATTTCATCAACAGACTTTCGTACTTATTGTGTTTTATTAGAAGTTTCACTGTGTTTTTTTTTTTCAATCTATTTCATGTTAGTATATAATATTCCGCAGGAATGCAGGTGATACTTGAACAAGAACAGATCGAAAAGTGCTCCAGGTACATTAAGCTAAGAATTCTTGTGAAAACAATTAAAAAGGTGTACTGGTTTTAGGAGAAAAAAAACACGAAACATGTTTTATAAATTAATACGAAAAACAGATTGCTAAAACGCTTCGAAGCTTAAGTTATAAGTGTACAGTAAGCATGTTATTCGAATCCTCTAAAATTATTGAATAAAAGTTTATGAAATACCTCTAAAACATCCTTTTTGTCAAGAGGTCGATGTTTTGCACATTCAAAAAACTTTAAAAATATTTAACAAATTGAAAAGTATATACATAAATTGACAACTTTTTGTATACTAAAAAACCTCACGTATTACGTTTTTTTTTATATATAAAAAAGACCTTTGTAAATCATCAAATATTTGTCAAGATGATTATCGCCGAATGATCTTAATACAGCGGAACAGACTTAATGAACAAAAGACACTTTCAAGAAATATTAACAAATAAGTACACACGTTTCTTCATGAATACTTCTACTGTGTAATCTGGGGGCATTTTTTACCAATTGCGAGTGGTTTTTTCCTAATTATCAAAAATGCTGCAGGGTGGTTACAAATATCATTTCTTTCAAGCTATTATTGTAGAATTGGAAAGTAAGTTTTTGACAAAAATTCCCTGATTTTATGTTACTCAGTGTAAATAGCCTCGTTTTAAGATAGGGAAAAATATATTTAGGGTTTTCTTATGAAAACACGTCGTTTTAGTTTTTGTTGTAATATGGAGCATTATGCACTGCTTTTGTTTGAACGGCTATCTGTGCTCTGCCCACCACGGGTATCGAAACCCGGTTTCTAGCGTTGTAAATCCGCAGACATACAGCTGTACCACTAGAGGGCTTATGCAATGATACCAGGAATAGTAAATATTAATCACTCAAAGTAAAGGGGCATTTAGAAGTTACCTGAGTGAAACTTAACAAGTGCTTACCAAAAACTTTTTCATTCAGGGTATACTGTCATTAGATAAATGAGAAAGATTTCATCATTACGAAGTATCTTTAATTTCATGCGTGTAAGGCATAATCACGTAAATTTCCTCGTAAGACTTACGTGACCTGCATAGTAGTGGTCAGACAAGATCCACGAAACTTTAAGTGTCCTACATTTCACTATGAAAACTGGTACGTAAGATGGCGTGAACATCAGAAAATTAGGCCGGTGAGCGACCGTCCACTCAGATAAATTTAGAACTGAAAACAACTTTTTATTAAAACACAAGCAGAGAAATCGTGACATCTAACTTTGTTCTAAAAACAAAAGAGAACCACTTTGCACCATAAACTAGATGTTCATAACAAATCCAGTAGTACAATTTACACGTGGATTATTTTAGAACTAGCTAATTTATTAATCTTTATTATCTAACTTGATCTAACAACTATTATGATGGATAAATACAATGTTTAATAAAACTATAGTTTACTGATGAAAATATCGATAATTTGTGTACTTATACAATGGTCATCTATGCCTTTCCCACCACGGGTATCGAATCTGATTTTTAGCGTCGTAAGCCTGTAGACTTACCGCTGAGCTACTGAATGGTATGTGGATATAAATGATAAAAGCTCCTGTAATCTAAGGTTAAGGTTGTAAATATAAATATGTATAATTCTGAAACACAATCGGCGGGTAATGTGCACCGATTTCACGAAAAGGTTTTTACCATCATTATGCACAAAACATGATTAAGAATACATATATTTTTTAGTTAAGTGTTAATCATTTCAAAGACGTTAACGACAGTACTTACCGGAGGGAGAGCAACTGGTCTAGGGAGAGCTCCTGCAGGGTACTGTCTTTGCTGAGGTGTTGTTGAACTCTGCTGGGCAGCCGTCGCAGCCACCAAAGCACAGCTTAAAATTACAGCAGCTAGTGTTTTCATTCTGTTCCGATCTGATCCTTACTACGACGCCGTTCTTTTTAAGCGCTGATTTATACATTTTCTGCCAACCAATCAAGAGAATTCTTTAGTGTATTGAGGCGGGAACAAGATTTCTTTATGCAATGACTGGACTAAGAGTAAGAGCAGAAATCTGTGACAAAGCCAGGGTCTATGGCTTCGCTTATGTAATTAGGTTAGTTTAATGCTGCCCTTCAATATGTCTCAACCTTTATCTCAATTAAATATATTAGATGTCATATTATTGACCTATCTTTATTGAGATGATCTACGTGATAAACATTCGTAAGTAAAAAAAAATAAAAAGACATATTCCAGAAATACTGTACCAAAACATTGTTTCTTATTAAACTTTGCCAGTGCCCCTCTTATAAAAAAAAAAGTTGTTTAACTCTAGTTGCAAAACTATTATTTGATTTGCCCCCACTCCCCCGTGACTCAGCGGTAAGTCTGCGCACTCACATCGCTAAAAACCAAACCGGGTTTTGATTCTCATGGTGGTGTTTGTTTGTTTTTGAATTTCGCGCAAAGCTACACGAGAGCTATCTACGCTAGCCGTCCCTAATTTACTAGTAGAAGACTAGAGGGAAGGCAGCTAATCATCACCACCTACCGCCAACTCTTGGGCTACTCTTTTACCAACGAATAGTGGGATTGATCGTTACATTATAGCGCCCCCACGGCTGAAAGTGCGAGCATGTTTGGTGCGACGGGGATTCGAATCCGCGACCCTCAGATTGCGAGTCGAGCGCCTAACCACCTGGCCATGCCGGGCCAACTCATGGTGGACACGTTACTGATAGCCCATTTTGTAGTTTTGTGCTTAACAACAAACAAACAAAAGAAATTATGTAATTTTTCAAAATAAAATTTCGTCTATGCATTTTGACACTTAACATTACCTTCGTTATTGTCATACCTCAAAGCATTCACTGAATCTGATACTTCGCATTTTTATTATAAATTTTACAATATAATACATTACCAAAATATTAGATTCTACTTTGAAGAATATCAGAGAAGAACTTTACTATCATGAACCACGATAGTAGTTCATAATAGGGATCGCGAGGAATTGCACAAAATCCTAATAGATCGTTCGGGAAAAAAAGGCATCTTAAATAGTAAAGATTCAATTCAAACAACATATTAAAACTTTTGCTATTAACTGATAAGGCTATACACATATAAAAATTAACAAAAAAGCACGCATGTTAGACTTCCATCAAATTTAAAAACCTGCGAAAAGGGATGGTAAAAAAATAATGAAACAAGGCTGGGGATACTATAGACATTATTTATTCAAACTACAAATCCATATTTTGACTCCACCAAATGTAATTCTAGGTAACAGCATGGAGCCAAAATAGGGGTTTGTAGTTTGAGTAAGTAATGTCTAGAGTATCTCCAGTCTTGTTTTCTTTTTTACCATCCCTATTTGCAGATCTTTAAATTCCCAGTTTTTCATTTATCTTTTTTATATTTGTAAAAAATAGTAAATGTATATATCGTTTAGTTGATCGAAATTAATTTTTTTAATATTAAGTCAAAAACTTTCACTGCCTTTGAGATAATTGGAACTTCAGACAATCGGCTCCATTTACAAGTTAGCGTCAGTTTAGACCGCCCGCATGGCCAGGTGGTTAGGGCGCTCGACTCGCAATCTGTGGGTCGC